AAAAAAACAAATAAAAAAAAAAATTTTAAAAAAAAAAAATTTAAAAAAAAATTTTAAAAATGCAAAATTTAAAAAAAAAATTTTAAAAAAAAAAAATTTTTAAAACAAAAATTTAAAAAAAAAAAAAATTTTAAAAAAAAAAATTTAAAACAAAATTTAAAAAAAGCAAAAAATTTAAAAATTTAAAAAAAAAAAATAAAAAAAAAAAAAAAAAAAAACAACAAAAAATTTTTAAAAATTTTTTTTAAAAAGAAAAAATTTTGGAAAAAAAATTTAAAATTAAAAAAATCCCAAATTTAAAAAATAACAAAAAAATTTTTTTAAAAAAAACAAAAAATAAAATCAAATTTTCAAAAATAAAAAAATTTTTAAAATTAAAATTTATAAAAAAACAAACCAAAAAAAAACAAATTTTTAAAAAAATTTTTAAACCCCCCCCAAAAAAAATTTTAAGGGAAAAATTTAAAAAAATTTTTTTTAAATCAAAAAAAAATTTTTAAAAAAAACAAAAAAAAAATTAAAAAATTTTAAAAACAACAAAAAAAAATAAAAAAATTTTTAAAAATTAAAAAAAAAAAAAAAATTTTAAAAAAATAAAAAATTTTTAAAATTTTTTAAAATCAAAAAAAAAATTTTAAAAAAAAAAAAAAAAAAAAATTTTAAAATTTTTTAAAAAAAACCTAAAAAAAAATTTTTTAAAAATAAAAAATTTAAAAAATAAAAAATTTTTAAAAAATAAAAAAATTTTAAAAAATGCAAATTTTAATGAAAAACAAATTTTAAAAATAAAAAAAATTAAAAATAAAAAAATTTTTAAAAAAAAAATTTTAAAAAAAAAATTTTTTCAAAAAGCCAAAGAAAAATAACAAAAGGGAAAAACAAAATTTTTTAAAAAAAAATGTTTTAAAAATCCCAAACCTCCCCTACACCCCCAACAACCCCCCCCCAACCCCCCCCCCAAAACCCCACCCCCCCCAAAATTTTTCCCCCAAAAACCCCCCAACCACAAGTACTCTCCCCTTGGTTCATAACCCCCCAAAATCCAAAAACCCCTCTCCCTACACTTCCCCTTTTCCCGTGCATGTTTTACTAAAACCCCTATTCACTCCAACCTTATTTACTCCACAAAAACTTGAATTAAAAAAAATTTATACCTTTTCCAAAATTTTTTGCTACCCTCCACCTCTAACTCCCTTTGAAACCCCCGACCTAATCCCATTTTCTTTTCTCCACAAAACCCCACCCCCCTTTACTTTGTTTCACTTAAAGCCGACATCCAGCTTCTTTTCATTCATAGCATCCACAATGTCTATCATTGCACAAAACCTGCACGAATCCCCCTTTTACAATTTTCTTCTTTTTTGTAATCTGACAGGGGAAAAGGGGGTTTCTACCCATTGTTCCCGGCATTTTAGTCGTTTTCCAACCGCATGTTTACGGAGGAAGATTTTTTTCCACTTTCCAGGATATAAAAGGAAAATTTAAAAACAACAAGAAACTATTATGATAAAATCAGGAAAACTCAGATGTGTATAAATAAATGTGTACATTATGTGTAAGCAAGTAAAGTACAAGACATACCCGTAATCTTGCAAATTTTTGAGACTGACAAGACCACCAGCAATCCCCCCATCATTTAAAAAAATTACAGGCTCTCGTGAGGGAGGCAAAAGACAGCCAAGAGAAATTAGTGAGATACCTAGGAAAATTTTCTGATAAACAGTTTTTGGAGAGCTAATAAAAAGGAAACTAAAAGGAAAAGGACTAGGCAGTTTTAAATGGAAAGGGGGAAAATTTTGATGGGGGGTGGAGGTAGCAAAGGGTGGAAAGGGGGATCTTTAATTGTTGAATGTTAATTTTAAAGGAAAGACACATCAACAGGAGTGAGGGGGAGTCTGAAGCAAAACCACCAAAAGATTCTACAGAGGAATATTTATGGAAAATCCCGTGGAAGACCAAATTTTTCACAGGTAACAAACAATACTGTATACTGTTATTTTAATGTGCAAGTACAGGAGGGCCCTGCTTTTTACAGCGGTTAGGTTCCAGACTATTGCTGTAAAAATAAAAACTCTATAGAAATCAAAGCCTTTTTTTTACGTTTCAGATCCATTAAACCTGATATTTAATGAATAAATAACTAGGGCCCAAAAAATTAAAATACAATACATACATTACTTATCTAAAATATTTTCATCCTTAGCTTTTTGTGAGTGAATATCATGGACCCCCGCAGGATATTAATCCTTTTTCCCAGAGCTCATCGTAACAAAATAAACGTTAATCAAGTTTAAATTTTTTTCCCAAAAAATAATGGGGAAAAAAATTTAAACCATTCCCCCACCCCCAAAGTATTGAAAAAAAAATTTTAACCCTAAAATTTAAATTTTTAAAACACACAAACTGAAGAAGACATGCACTTACATGACCCCTTACCTTTATTGAAGATCTGGGATGATTGAAGGGGTGGGAGGAGGGGGGTGTGGATCTTCTTAGTTTTTTAAAGGGGAAAACCCCCCTTCCCTTAGGACTTTAGGGGCAAACCCTTTTTTCCGGGGTTACTTCCCCTTTTTCTTTTTAAAGCCACTAGGACCGCGTGAGATCATGGGGCTTTTGTCACACAACATATCTGTCCATAGAGGGCCCGTACCCCTGTTTTATGGCTTTCCTAAAGTGTTTCACAACATTGTCAGTGTACAATTCCCAAACACGGCTTCAGTGCTGGGGGCCAGGGTGATTTTCATCCAAAAATTTTTTTGCACTTTAGGCCACATGCACGTTTCCTTAATTTAGAAGTGGGAACTTTAATTTCATATCCCCCCTCCTCCGAAGCTTTTTTCCCGGCGGGCCTCATGTGATGAAGATGATCTACAGCCATAGGGGTTTTTCTTAAATGTCCCCTCCCCCAACCCTTTTCCACATCCCCCCACTAACCTCCAACCCCAAGGATTTCCCCAGTGCCACAATGGATTCCTCAACTGGCATAGGATTCTCAGGGTTAGCCTCAAACCCTTCAAAATCCTTTTTCTACACATTTTGGCCACATTTTTTCCAAAAAAGTTAAGGTCCTCTTATCCTTCCTCCCAAGCCTTTCCTATAAAGTTACACAATTTAGGATGGTAAAGTGTCTTTCCCAAAACTCTCTTAAGTCATTTAGTTTTGAGGCACTACAAAGCACCTTTCAAACATTCTTTTTTTACGTTTTTTGAATTGGAAATGACCCCCTGGTCCATGGGTCAGGAAGGGTGGTATTAGGAGGCAAAAACTTACCCTTTAATGAAGCTCCATTTCCCAGAAATTGCTCTGCCAACTGAAGGTCCATGACATTGTCTAAACCCGGGGGGACTTCAGGTCTAATTTTTTTTCAGTTAGGTAATTTTTTAGGGGGGCAAAATGCATGGTGAACCAATAAAAAAGCCCTAGTGACCCATGCCTTACTGTTTTGCCCTCCACAAAAAAACAAATTTTCCTTGAGGACACTGTTTTCCTGAACACTGGGGTTTCAGAGTAACACCGATAAAGGCTTCACTTTTCAATCACCCCTAGCATTGGAAACACAAAAGGAAGCCCGTCTTTCATAGGCTTTTTATCCGGGGAGTGCCTTTTCCTCCTGAGTAATGTAGGTCCTGCTTGGCATTTTCTTCCAAAACAGGCCTGTTTCGTCACAATTAAACACTTGTTCAGGCTTCAGTCCTTCACTGTCTATGTACTCCTTGAATTCATGCACATATTTTTCAGCTTTGTGGTCCGAACTGGCAGCCACACCATGCCTTATCACATTATGAATGCCACTACGCTTCTTAAATCTCTCAAACCAACCTTTGCTGGCCTTAAATTCACTCACATCACCACTAGTTGCTGGCATTTTTTTAATTAAATCATCATGCAACTTCCTAGCCTTTTCACATATGATCGCTTGAGAGATGCTATCTCCTGCTATCTGTTTTTCGTTTATCCACACCAATAAGTCTCTCAACATCTTCTATCACTTGCGATCTCAGTTTCGAAAACATAGTTGCACCTTTGGCAAGAGCAGCTTCCTTGATTGCCGTTTTCTTGCCCACAATAGTAGCGATGGTTGATTGGGGTTTACTATACAACCTGACCAGCTCGGAGACACGCACTCCACTCTCATACTTAGCAATGATCTCTTTCTTCATCTCCATAGTAATTCTCACCCTTTTTGCTGTAGGGTTGGCACCAGAAGCTTTCTTGGGGCCCATGGTGACTTATTTTGCAGGTGCAATCACTACAAAGGCTGTGATAACATGAAATGTTCCAATTGTATGTTTGGAAGCGACCGCGGTGGCTGGCTGGCTTGTAAACACTGGCACCCATGGGACAAGTGAGGCGCGCTCAGGCCTAAGTGGACGCGTCTCGAACCGAACGAATAGCGTTGGTCGGGGTTTTTAGCGCTAGTCAAGGCAAAATTTTTGCGATAAAATGTATCGCTAGTCGGATTTATCGTTAATCAATGCCATCGTTGGTCGAGGGTCCACTGTATTTATTATAGGAAGTCTGAATAAATGAAAATTGGGTATAATTGAAAACCGCTGTATTAGCGAAACGCCATACAAAATAGGAAAACTTAACTGTGCAGACAGAATTTAGTCATAGATATTTGCAGGGACCTCTAAGAACGTAACACTTGCAAATTTGGAGGGCTGACTGTATATGGGTTTCTATACATGGGGGCAGTGCTTGGTTAATTTTTGCAAGCAGCAGTAGCCCTGGCATGAGAAGTCCTAGCTAGTGCAGCTGAAGGCCTTAACGAAAACTTTAATAAAAAAGAATCTGTCATCGTGAAGTCTTTCCTTAAAAAGAAAAATCAGTCATAACTTAATAAACTGCTACTTACAACACACAATTAGAACTTGGTTATGAAAAGAAAATTAATGGCTTACAACCCAAGGCTTGCATTTTCCTTTGTGCCACATTCTAGTCGAGACCTTTCATAATTTTTGACTGAAAAAATGTATTTCTTGAAACAGAGACTTAAGAAAATGATAAAAGCTTTATTTAAAAAAGTATATTTTTTCATAATATTGAGTATAATAGGTAAAAAGTAGAGAAGTCTGTAACTGGGTAATAAAAAAGTTAAAACTGCCCATCAAAACATTCTTGTGACATTCACTGTAATGATATATATGGTTCTCTCTGTCAGAATAAATGCAACCCATAAATACATTTATGTTACTACAAGTAAAAATAATTATTTAATTTCCTTATACCTAAACATAATATGTACTGGTATGTAATCAATTTATTAGCACTATATACCAACTATAGTATATGTAAACTTGCAAACTTACATCTATATTAAATTTCCTATGAATTTATACTGTACAATTTCTTTCCCTACATAGGAAAGTCAACACTAAGCTTCATTAAAATTACTAAAATTTAAAGAAAAACCCATTTGTGATTAATTCCACTTACATTTTGCAGGATGTTATTCTGACGAACAATAATAAGTCAGTCTCATGGAGTGTCATTTATATAAAGTATTCTACATTAGGGGAAAGCCCAATAGTAAACCTATACTAGATTTTTTGGTAATGCTTATGGAAAAAATACTTTATGTAATGTTTTTAAATATAACTTAGCCTATATCATATGGAATGATACAAGCCAGTTTCATACAATTGTTTCACAGTCTTCCATATATGTAACACCACCTTACTTCTATCTCTCTTTCTCTAAGACAGTCTATCAATTGTTGACTCTCGCTTTTCACTTCATACATTCATTAATATCTGTAGGTTGTCTTCATATGACTATTAAAGTCCTTTAATTAGTATTTTAACATACAGTATACAGTGGACCCCCGCTTAACGATCACCTCCCAATGCGACCAATTATGTAAGTGTATTTATGTAAGTGCGTTTGTACGTGTATGTTTGGGGGTCTGAAATGGACTAATCTACTTCACAATATTCCTTATGGGAACAAATTCGGTCAGTACTGGCACCTGAACATACTTCTGGAATGAAAAAATATCGTTAACCAGGGGTCCACTGTATTCTAAGTTTGAGAATCAAGAGGTGGGAACCAAGATAATTCATAGTATGGTATTTTAAAAAATATATCCATTGTTTTCAAAATTCATAGAATATGCTGGATTCTCCATAAAGTACATTACAAAAATATATATTTACTGTTTTTAAAATTCATATTGTTTAAATGAGGTTCTGGAATTTTTGTTTATAAGTTGGTCAAGTATAAAAATGCCATATCACAGAACTGACTACCCAAATGCCACACAGTGGCATCAGTGAAGCCTGGAACACACTACTCTCATAGGTTTCAGGGCTATAAAAACAAATAGTAACAAGTCACTGACAAACACTTATGAAGTGTACCACCATATTTACCTATTTGATCAAATGTTACATTGACTATTCCATAATATGTCATTACATAATGTCACTGGAATGCACAACAATTGCTATGATACATATGTACAAGTCACATTACACTTGACCAAAAATTCTATTAAACCTCTGTTGTACAAATACTAATCAACTTAAAGAAGCATTTTTACTATCTATATATATTAAACCTGGTTATCATAGATTAGGTGTTCATAAATTTGTTCTTAAAGAAAATCATTTGTGTTCTTTTGTTTGGATGCATTGACATGGATACTTTGTAAGTTATGATTTATAAAGTATACTGAACAACTCTTTAACCAGTTATATGATAGCTATTAAGCATTTTTTGAGTGGCAAATCATAGTTCATCTGGACTTTTTTTTTTTTTTTTTTTTTTTTAAGAATGCATCCATTGCATTTAATACCACATTACTTAAGTTTTATAAAAATTAGTGAATAAATCTTTTTTTTTTTTGGCCATAGATTCATTCAAGTATATCTACATTCTTGAATGTTATAGTACTGTATGAATTAAATGCCTTCATGGGTACAAATGCACTACTGTCATCCTCTCTGACATCTAATGTGGGTTGCGAGTTTTCCTGGACCCTTGTAGACTCCAGTGGTTGATGAGAGCCATATTTGCTTTCTTGAGAATTTAAATTTTGATTATGTCTTGGTGCTTGAATTCCTTTAAGAAAGGATGTTTCATGGCTTATTAAACTATCGTGTGGATTAAGCTCATTAATGGTACTAAAAGAAGAAAAAGTAGGCTCTTCTATGGGTATCCAAGGCTTTGGATCAAGGTCACTAACTTTAAGGACCACATCACTTAAAACGCCTCTAGTTCTAGCCAGGTTTAGGTTCTGAGTACTAGGCATTTTATGCAACTTTTTCTTGTAATTTGTAGGGTCATTTACTTTTGTTTGGGACTCAATAATTCTACTATTTTCTGATGCCTTTATTTCTTCAGCTGTTAGCTTCTGAATCTCATGAATACATGGGTCGATTATGAATTCACATGTACGTACATTAGTAGAATTCTGTACAGTAAGGGGTACTGTCCCTTCTTGTATTTTAGAATCCTTGTAATTTTGCTTTGGGTGCTGTGGTGAAATATCTGAGGAACCTGTTCCAGAGTCTTGCTTTTTTGTTGATCCAAGTGAGGGGAACTCATCTTGGATGTTAAGCGAGAGCCAGTTTTTTCCTCATAAGCCGAATCAGCCTCACTCTCTGAACAATTAGAAGCACTTTCATGTGATTTATTAGATGTCCTCATATGGTTATTTATTGTGTCCAAATTGGGTACTGAATTGGAAAGTTTTCTAGCAGTGAGTCCTGACTGAGATTGTCTTTTCATATTCAACAAGTAGTTAGCTTTTGTTAACTGGATCTCCAAGTTCCTAAATGTAGAGAAAATACATAAAAGTTACCATACATGTATGAAAGCGGTTGTAAGAAACCGTTTAAAATTTAACATGAAAATTTCAACACTTCCACTTTATCCTCAACATTTCAAAGAATAAAGCTGGCTTATACTGTAACAAATATTTAGTGAGAAGAGAAGAGAAGTGTAGAGAGAGAGATCTGGGGAAATGCTGAGTGCATGGGGAGTTTTGAACCAAGTAAGAAAGTACTTGTGGTTGGGGATCTCAATACTGAAGTGGGTAAAAATGTTGTGGAGGGAGTAGTAGGCAAATTTGGGGTACCAGGGGGTAAATGAAAATGGGGAGCCTTTAATGAAACTATATGCAGAAA